CTAGTCTTCTTATTGATGCTCAATATAAAGTGACCTCTAGTCTCCTTACTGATGCTCAATATAAGCTTCGCCCATTATGCAAATTATCCCATGTTTCCCACTATTGTTGATGCCCTGGCATACTCTCAAAATTAGACAGTGATTCCTTAAAAAAATAAATAAACGTTTACCCGTTGTGAAATCTAGGCATACTTCTGTGTGCCCAGATGATCAGGTTCTTTCAAAAAGGAGGTTAGAAACCTGGAAATATACTATAAAAAGTAAAATAAAAGTGGAAATATACTTTTCTTAATCAAGGAATTATTTTAAGGAAGACCAAACGGCTGTAAATATTGAAGATGTACGTGTAGTGTTTATCTTTACTAAATACTAAGTGAACGAAAGACAACTCTGAAACTGTGATGCCATTCTTCTATTTTCTTGTTGAATGAAAGAAACATACAGATAATGTATAGTATTCTCGAAGTCTGTTTTAATGCTGCAAATCTGGAGAAGAGTCATTTAAACCTCCAAAAAACCTCAGAGGTGGGATCATGTCCCATATCAAGGATACTAGAGTTATAACATACCATTAATACTTTTTTAAAACATATCTTCTTTAAACATTTTGGGACTAGCTTAAGTAATTTCATTTAAGTAATTGGAAATCAAAAGCAATTTATTATATACATGTACTAATTTCTACATTTTGAGTACATTACAACATGTACTTAAAAATTCAAAACAAATGAAATTCTGTTTTTAAAAAATAAAGCTAAAAATACAACGATCACATCTATCAAAACACGACAAGCTTTTTAGCGTTACTTTTTAATGCTAGTATATTCTTTATTTATTTAGCCTTTCACAAAGGTTTTTACTCATCAACATATCCTTCAATTTTCAACTTCTCCAAGCTTTTTAATCAATCTACATTGCTAGTCTGTACCATCGATCTTCTTGTTTTGACTTGTTACATGTATATGAATTTTTTTTAACTGAATTTAAGTTTATGTCCACGTGTATTCTGACTCATGCAGATGTGGTGTAATGTCGGATTCAGGAGTAAGTGACATTTTAGAATATTATACTTTCATGTAAATTACATGAATCTGATTTGTCGAGAAACATTTGATAAAAACACTACTACCCGCTGAATAATGAAGCCACGCCCTCCTGTGTAGCAACAGTCAACATTGCTGGACGACGGGTGGTATTACAAAAAATAGCGACTGCGCGGAATTTATGCGCGCACAGTTCACTGTAATATGTATTTGTATAAAACATTCAGTATAATCTAATAAATGATATTATCACTTTATATTTTATCCTTTTTAACCATTTTAACCATTGGCCTAAGAAACGATGGTTACTAAAGTATATCTGTAGGAAGTCTAATTCCAAGTATCCTGTGAAGCAAAGATATTTCAAAAGAACTAAAGCTGTAGTCACGGTGTCAGAAATGTGCTTCATATTTTGCTCTTATAATGTGTGCATTCAAATTTTATTATTATTATTAATTATTTATGGGAGTTATCTTTTTTTGACATTAAATCTTTTTAGAGGCATACATGAATTTAGAAATATATTTTAAATATATTTTTAGCTCACCTGAGCTGAAAGCTCAAGTGAGCTTTTCTGATCACCTGATGTCCATCGTCCGTCCGTCCGTCCGTCCGTCCGTCTGTAAACTTTTGACATTTTCAACTTCTTCTCAAGAACCACTGGGCCAATTTTAACCAAACTTGGTACAAAGCATCCTTGGGTAAAGGGGAGTTTAAATTGTTAAAATGAAGGGCCAAGTTCCTGTACAAGGGGAGATAATCATGAAAAGACAAAAATAGGGTGGGGTCATTAAAAAATCTTCTTCTCAAGAACCACAGGGCCAGGAAAGCTAAAACTTATGTGGAAGCATCCTGGGATAGTGTAGATTCTAAATTGTTCAAATCATGACCCCCGGGGGTAGGGCGGGGCCACAATAGGGAATCCAAGTTTTATATAGAAATTCATAGGAAAAATCTTTAAAAATCTTCTTCTCAAGAACCACTGGGCCAGGAAAGCTGAAACTTATGTGGTAACATCCTGGGGTAGTGTAGATTTTAAAAATTTTTCAAATCATGACCCCCGGGGAAGGGCGGGGCCACAATAGGGAATCCAAGTTTTACATAGAAATACATAGGAAAAATCTTTGAAGATCTTCTTCTAATGAACCACTGGGCCAGAAAAGCTGAAACTTATGTGGAAGCATCCTGGGGTAGTGTAGATTCTACATTGTTCAAATCATGACCCCCGGGGGAAGGGCGGGGCCACAATTGGTAATCGAAGTTTTACATAGAAATATATAGGAAAATTCTTTGAAAATCTTCTCAAGAACCACTGGGCCAGAAAAGCTGAAACTTAAGTGCACATGGAAGGATCCTGGGGTAGTGTATATTTCAAAATGTCTAAAATATGATCAGTGGGGAAGGGTGGGGATGCATTATGTATTACCAGGGGGGAAATCTGGTAAAGAACAGAATGGTCAAAGCTTCTCAGGTGAGCGATGTGGCCCAAGGGCTTCTTGTTTAAAATATTCCAAACAGTCAGTTTGAACTTTAATCACCATATCAATACTGGATTCATAATCTACTTAAAAATACTCAAAAACAAAGTTACATAGTAAAGTTTTATCAAACCTCTTTTTTTATTTTTCAAAAATATTTAAGCAGAGAAGGCAAAACTTCAGATGTACTATACAACGTACAGTTTATTTGAGAAGTGGTAAAAATCAGATATTGTTATTTCGAAAACTTCAACTGAAGGAACCTTTTTTAAAACTGAAATTACAGCCACCAAGACGTCCCATTTTCAAAAACCTTTTAAAATACAACCATTCCACGATAAATTCAGGCTTTATGACAACAAAGACGGCTTCTTTTCTTTAAAACTCTAAAACCAAAAATTTACTTTCATTGTCACTGATCATTTGCAAAATAATTTTGTCATGAACATTTTGATTGTTCTCACAAGTAGTCTGGCGCTGATGCTAAAAGGAATGCTTGAGTTTCTGATTGACGATATCTGTGTGTTGTTTGGAGACAAATTCTTCGAACAATCTGTTGAAGTTCCTTTGGGTACTACATGCGACCCGTTATTAGCAGACTTTTCTTGTTTATATGAAGCAGAATTTGTTGCCTTTAGTGTTCACTGATTGATGATGTGACGCAAATTTTGTTTTGGGGAGAATGTTTGACTCCCATTTGCATTTTGTGTGTTTTGTGTTCACTGATTAATGACGTGACACAAATTTTGTTTTGGGGGAGTTTGAATGCATTTTGTGTGTTTTGTGTTCACTGATTAATGACGTGACACAAATTTTGTTTTTGGGGAGAATGCTTGGCTCCGATTTCTTTTTTGTGTGTTTGGTGTTCACTGATTGAAGATGTGACACTGTCCTTGTTACATAATAAAGCAACATTTTTCCTGACTCACAATTTGTGTTGCCGCAAAAGTATTCTCTGAGTTATAATGTGTTCACAGCGTGTTTTGTTTATCAGGCCCTATAGGTAGCAAATTAATGAGTTGTTTGTTTCAGTGGTTCATAAAACTATTTTTGCTTACAGTTTCATCATGTGAGAGGTTTGGTGTGTAATTTTAAGGGGGTTAGCTCTACTGGTGGCACAGACTATGCAGCTGCTGCATAGTCTAGTGGCGGATATTCAGCTTACCATGCAGTAGTGCTCATCTGGACTTTTCAACTTATTTTATTCAAAAGCATTAAAGAACATGATTACTATTTTAATTTCCGGGTGTTCATCTCTTCCCATGGTTCACCATGGAACTGTTTCAATTTTTTTGTACTTGCAGTAATGAGTACAGCCGTGGCCATAACAGCCCATAAACTATTATAAAAACTTGAAATATGTGTCAGTTTTTCTTCTTAAGATGAATTTGATTTGGCATCCTAGTAAGCAAGTTTTGTCTTTGATACGTCAGTCAGCATTTGACTCAATGATAAATTGTATTTGCCGACAAAGTCATTGTATCTACCATAGAGTTAACAGGTACGTACGTAATGATGACTTTAAACGAGTCTGTTGATATTCTCATTTCATCATCTTTTTTGTCAATAATTTAACTCGTTATAGAAATTGTTCATATGTAGAGCATGCTCTTGCACAGCGAATCAACTGAGATATATAAACTCCGTAAGCTGGTGATTTAAGTATATTGCTACATAAGTAAAGGAAGATGACGATAGAAAAGTTAAAGTCATCATGTTTATCATAGAGCTTGGTTGTTAGATTACCATTTACGTCTTTTGCAAGTAAAATATCCAAAATGAAACAGATGTGTCAGACTCTCTAGAACATTATTTTCTGAAATGCGCTGCAGTAAATAATGTAATATAGTATCAGTATTTTATTTTAAGTAAACAGTTATTCACTGTAATCTTGCTATATTTATTATATTATACTGAATGTTTTATACAAATACATATTACAGTTCTTTATTTTAATATACAACATCTTTAATTCCATTGTCAATGGCTTTATATAATAAACACAACGAATATTTTAGTATTTAATGTGAAAAATTAATATTTTATGTAATCTTGGTGAAAGAAATGATTTTAATATATTTCCATTGTCAAATTTATATAATAAACACAACGACATTTTTAGCATTTATGTGAAAAATTAATATCTCATAGAAATATATAATTATTATATTTATATAATTTATTATGGATACCAAGTTGCAGGAAGTATAAATGCCAACATAAAATCTCCATCTATATCCTGTTTCATGTAGAAATAACAGATATGAGCGACTGTAATAAATTTCCACATGAATCGTTTTAATCGCACTTATTCTTATATAATTAAAACATCCTTTAATTAAATCAATGTATATTTACCACAAATAATTTTTACTTGATGACGCACTTAAAATACATTGCACATGCATGGAACAGTTTTTACTGATTTTACCGCATTATATATAAACTTCTGTCTCAGAAAAGATAAATAAAACAAAGGATTTCTTCCCAATTTGAAAAAAAAACTTCACTTAAATTATGTTTTAGTAGGTTAGAAAAAAAATTATGTTATACTACAAGAAAAAAATCTTTTTTTTTTACATGTGCAAGGCAGTGCAACTTTACATTTCATCTAAATGGTTTAGCCTACTTGCTATACATTACATTTACAGTGTAGAAAAAATACTGTTGCTATTTTTTACTTATGAAATGGGTACAAGAATTGAAAGAAAAATGATTTTAAAAAATGAAAGATGTACAGAAAGTCGAAATGAAAGCATAATTTTTCATTTTTTATAAAACATAATTTTCATTTATAAAACTGAATCAATGGTTCGTTTTTGTTTGAAGAATATGAATACAGAGACAAATAGCAAAGTAAAAAATGTTTGAACATTTGACTGAAATACTGGCTGAATACAGACAAATGATTGGGAAGCAAATGTGTTGAAATGCAATCCTAAACGTCAGTATTGCATTGTTACTGAAGCTCTCACTTCTTCATTCTTCTTCTTCGATGTCACTGTCAAAAATTATAGGCAACACAACCATTAAGGAAACAATTATTGTAGTAATGTAAATGATAAAGAAAATTCGATCAAATATTAGCGCCAGAGCTTTCCATTCTTTCGCTATTTTTTCTTTCCTGTCTTTTTCCTCTAGTCTCTCTTTATAAATTTTTATGAAGTTTCTTATTTCATTGACTTTCGTGTGGATCACTGACAATTCTGCACTGGTTTCCTTTTGAACTGTTATTAACGTCTCACTTGAGCCCTTCCAATCGTTTGTAAATCTACTCCCATCCCCATTTACACCCATATAACGCCGAGAAGTTGTAGGGCATGTCACGTGAACTTCCTCCAGGAAAGGCGCAACGAGTTTGTCCATACACAAAACCCGGGCAACGTAGGAAAACATCACCTGTAATATACGTCACTGATACATCCCATGTGTCCTATTCTTTAACCTATTAAACATTCAGTCTAAATAAAGAGATTATATAAATGTTTTGAAGTTGGATACTAGTTTGCAATATATTTCAGATGTATTTCAGGACGGGATTTTTATTTTATTTTCACACATGCAATATATAAGTAAAAATACATGTATCAAAAATCCCATCTCATGAGTGAAATAAATTAAAGATTCATTGAAAAATGGTTCTTCTTTTATCTTAAAAACAAAACAAGGATTATTCCAACACTCTTAGTGAAGGAAGGGACAATTGAGAGTTCTTCCTCATTTGGGATATTAGTTTGTACTTATATTACAGGATCACACTTTGTTTCTTTTTTTTAGACTGGGAAAATTGTAACATTTAATCAATAAATAAATTATATTATTTTACTGTCGACATGTTAGAAACAGGATTATGCATGCATCATAGGCATTACCACTTTTGAATTTTATTCCACATTCAATTTGCTTTCTTACTCTGCAAACTGATCACTTCCTGTGACTAACTGAACATTCACTTGAAGCTCTATCCTATTGCTCTCAAGTTTCATTGCTGACTTTGAATCTGATTATTGAGTATTTGATTAAAAAAAATAAATCATATAGTCCGGCTTCGCATTCTTGTAAAAGAATAATATTACGGAAAATCATGACCGATATTATTTTGCATCTCAATCCATATTCAGAGGAAACAGATAGATGACAACTTCGAAAAGTCATTAAGTGTCAGAACAAATCAGAAAACACATTTCTCTAAACAAATTCAAAGATTGGAATTTTTTTACTTTAAAAAAATTAGACCTTTTCTTTGGTCATTATTTTAGTATTTCTATGATTAAGTAAGAAGTAAGAGTCTGATTAATCAAACAGTTTAAAGTAGGTTTTCACATTCGCAAACTTTGCAGTGGTGTTGATACCATAGGATTCTTTCTCTTGCTATAAGTGGAGCCGAAAAGTCCTATTCAGTTTGATCATTTCATCTGATTCAAAAAGTCTTGTTGTCTACCAAATAATTCTTTTTTGCCCGAAAATGATTTAAAAATGAAGTTTCTTCATTTAGTTTCTCCAACTTTGAATTGCACTAAATCATATACTATGTTATTGTTTCGTTTTGTTTTGTTTTGTTTGTTTGTTGCTTTTTTTGGTAACCTTGTCTATCAACCTTCTTGCTTTGATGATTATGATGACAAACCTTTTTAAGTGTCTTTGGAAGATGAACCGGGTACCTAGTTCCCGAGACCGACATGTTTACAACAAACACACACAGGAATGAAGACATCGTTATCAACACCATGTTTACACAATAATAGGTACCTGTAAAAGAAAGGAATCGGCATTATTGATTCGAACACGACTACACCTCTCTATGAAAACTCATGACTAAATATAGAAGTTTGGTGTTGTTTCTGACCAATCACTGATTGGATTGTGGTTTAAGCCCCTCCATACCTGATTATCCTCAGAATGCAAATAGAATAAATTTGACATTTTGTCTACTTTGTAAAGTTAAGTTGAAGGAAGAAAATAGATGTAGATAGCTATTTTAACAGTATTTCACAATTCTAAATTAATAATTTTTATTTGATTTATCCAAATAAATGTTTTAAAGAAAAATTTTCAAGTAATTTGAAACACGTACATAAAATTTTTTAATCTAGTTTCAGTAACGACAATTGGTGCAAATTATAGGAAAAAATAACTAAAACCTTTGATCAAAAATGCAGGCAGAACAATGCATTCAAATATCTCTATTGAATTTCTTCACTATCATACCAAATTTTAAAATTTATACCAAGAAAGATATCAAACGTGCAAATAAAACTTTGATGTTAAAATAGCCTAAGGCTTACCACACAATTTGTGAAAACTGTTAAACTACTCTAGAGGTTGAAATTAGCAGAGAACCATGAAACATGGCAACAACATTCCTGGCAAATTTGTAAAAAGGTGTAACAACGTGCATATTACTTTCACGCCAATCGTGTTCTGACTCATAAAACCATTTTGCACATGTGATTAGCGTGATTATAGACGTCCAGAGAAGTCTTGAGGCATGTCATTTCTTTCAAAATGGTTTCATGAATAATGGCCACTACACATAAAGTTCACGCCGCTTCCTTCCTCGATGTATTGCGTTCCAGGGCGGTGAACTTTTTTGCCATACTATATTGCCAAAAAACGTGGAGGGTTTCTGAACCTCTATTGCCCCTACGACATTTTGTGGACAACATCTAATCTTACCTAGAACTGGGGAGGTTTCAGACGGTGGTATATTACGTTGGAAGATGGACAACAGAACGAAGTATGCCATGAATATACTCATTCCTGTGGATAAAAGACAAGACAGATGAGACAAAGACGAATACGTGCTTACCTATAACCGGGAAGGATCTGGCAGCAGGCGGCAGACTGGCCTCGAAGATAATCAGTAAGAGAAAGAACGCCATGAAAGTGTTCATGCCTAGAAGGGAAAGGAAATGATGTTAGTGAAACAAGCCTAGTGTTTTTCCCAACCCATTTACAATTTTTTCCCAAAACGAAAAGCCCAGCGTTCACTACGATTATTTTTATTATTGGGAATTCCTAGTAGCGAAGGATTTGCAAACCATCTAAAAAATAAATCAAAGAAGTTAAATGCCTACATGCATTCTAAAAAACGATTCTTTCATGATATTTTATGAAGAATGAAAAACTACGTTTTTTCGTATTTTCCCGTGCAAAATGTGAATATTGATTCAAAACATGTGTATTTAAGCAAATACAATGAAATGTGGATCATAATAGCACAAATGAATAATGATATTTGAAATTAACGTTTATGGGTTTAAACATAATGTGTATAGTGTCTGTGTAAAACAATGTTGAAAACTTCTCACTCACAATAATGTCTCAATATTTATACAATAATATTCAAATATATGTGCAAAATTGATTTTTGAAAGATTTTTTTTTCAAAAAGTCACCATCTTTTGGTATGAAAAAGTTTAAACATCCTTACCAAGAGTAAGTTTGGCGGGGGACTCTGCCGGAATCCAGAACAATATAAGCGTCAAAGAGGTCAACAAAACACACGGTAATATAAGCGTGTACGCATAAAACGTAGCCTTGCGGCGTATAGTTAACCAGAACTTTAAGTCTATAAATGGTTCCGGACAACAAGTGTACCTTTCCACGTTTTTCTTTCCCCAAGTATTTCTAACGTCCCAGACGTTACTTTTTTGGAAATTGCTTAAATCCCATGGTGTATCATCTTTAAAGAATAAATCGAGTTGTAGCCCATCGTAGGTCCATGAGCCGAATTTTAAATGACACCGCTGCTTATCAAAAGGAAAGGCTTTGACATCTATGTTACATGAGCTCTTGAACACAGCCTGAGGAATCCACACCACGTGACCAGTGTGTTCCACAATGCAAAGTGAGTCTCTTCTCTCATGTAAACGTTCGTCGGCGCTGAAAATGAACAGAATACATGAATTAATCTCACTGGCTTCGGTTTATTTAAAACTGTTCAAAATCATTTCAACTTGAACAATTCTTGTGAAATATAGACAATCTTAAACCTGAAAAATTCTTCTCCTGATCTACACAAAATTTTGATATCTCGTATATGTTAAATACTGGGTGTTAAAATTCATTTCTTCTAAGTTATTTTTTGCTATTTTTTTTTAATCACGATAATCAAAATATATAAAGAAGTAATTTGAAAAGCTACAAATTGAATTTTACAGAAAATGTAAAATAAAAATCATTGTTGCACAGAAAGATAAATAGCGGGTTCTATTCAACCAAGTATTTTCTTTAATTTTCTAATGTATAGACTGCCGTGAAGGAGAAATTTCAGAAGCAGGAGTTCTTTACAATAATATCTTTGAGTATTTGTGTTAATCAGATGTGTATTCCAAGGAACATTTGGAAAAATTGAAATCACAAAATTACCTATATCAGTAACATCAAAATTAAAACCTTTTTAACTCAATAAACAAACATTTCCCACGACTAATTAAAGTTAAGATTTTTTGACATCGTTGACAGTTGCATTTTTAATAAAAATGGAACTAGTTAATTTACCTACCTTGTTATTGGTCAATTGCAAACTTATTTTGTTTAAACATCTTTATTGTACACAATTACTCTGAAGTTGATATTTTAATGACATTTGTGTTTCAAATTGATAATAAATATGTAGTTTTTGGAGACCCAGTCTTCCACCTATATGTTTGTTTTCCCATGGATACCTATTGCGCTTAGTTAAGATCAGACCAATTTTTCTTTTCATACGAAGCAGAATTTATTCAATATTTCATATTTAGTAAATTAGAAGAAAGAAAAACTTTTTATGGCCCTCAGCTCGACATTTTAATATATCGACAAATTCATATGTCAATCCAATATATAAAGACAGTGAGCTTGAAATAAAATATACCACATAGTCTGGTACCTTTGTTTCATATTTTTAAAAGACGTTAGTGGTGTTCTTACAACAAAGCCCCTTGGTAATTGTAATGTTTCTATTTTTTTTTTTTGGATTGTCAGTTTGTCTAACAAATGCTGCAACATACCCTCATTATTACCAACAAATGGAGTTTATATATCTCTCAGTTGATTTGATACGCAGGAGCAAGTTCTATGGACATAAAATTCGTAAAACGATGTGGGTCAATGACAAAAAAAGGTAAAACAAAAATATCCACAGTCTCATTTAAAACTTGCAAATGCCATGCCGATACAATGATCATGTACGAATACAATCCTTTATTTAGTCAAATATTGAGGGCCGCTTTTCATATTTATACTTAGATTAATCAAGTTAAATATTAATTTGCACAGTTACACTGAATTGTGTTTGGATTCTCCCTTTGTTTCACTATCATGACAAGGAGTACACAGCGGGTGAGATTGGTCGGCAGGGGGGAATCTTACTTCTCCATGTCACCTTATCCGACCTCTGATGTTTTGGGGGTCCTTGTTTGCTACTAACCTGGGCTTGAATACTGTTAGTTGTCTCCATATATTCTACTGATTATGTTAGTAATAGGATAAGCACATAATGTTTATATAGAAATAAACGTAAAAGTTCCATCGATTTCATTTTGAAACACTACTGAAAATATCTTAAAAATGGAACGTTATCATATATATATAAAACATACTCATTTCAATATAACTGAAGGAAACCAATAACTTAATAACCGGTTAAATGTATTCAATTATAAGTAAACCCAAGGGCATAATAAAAATACCAAATCATAGAGATGAAATTTGATATAGACAAAAACGCAAAATTCGTTCGCCAGTTTTTGGTTTTTCAGACTTAAGATGTTTGAAAGCAGAGACAAAAATCCGTAAGATCCTTTTAATTGCATTCATTCTTGTGCTGAGTTATTGGTCTCATAAAATCGTTAAAAAAAAACGCACAAAACTGATAAACATTTGCCTCTTTTCTGACTTTTTCCCGCAAATATCTAATTCTAACAATGTTCCATGCCTTTCGGTTTCATGGAGAGCAGACACTAATGAACTATTTCTGGAGAAAATCACTTTATTGTCGAAGTTTAATCGTGGAATCTTAGTCTAAACGCGATGTCGTTTTGTGTGATCACGTCTAGGCCTAATGGCTGGACGAAACGACGGCGGGAGGGAAATCGCCGTAACACTCACGGATATTAGATGCATATAAGAACATTCACTCTTTTATTGATGAAAGCTAATTCTTTTATTGCAGGGCTTTGAAAATGTTCCCACCAGAGTAAGTTTTATGGTACCATGTAGAATTGGGATATCAACTCTGATCGGACCAGCTTAAGACGTATATATTATGTATTAAACACCGGCAGTGAAAAAAAAGAGAAAAAAATGAATCATTGAAAAAGATCAGATGTTGTAGGTATTTGCAGCCATATGAAGTTTTTATGCCACTATTTACTTCACATATATTGGAGTGAAAACGATTGATATGATACTACATGTAAATGCAAAACACTTAACAAGGTACATGGTCTGAAGAGGAGACAAAAGGTCTTGTAGCAATAATATGCTGCATAATTTGATTTACCTGGTTGAGATTATGCAAAATTCAATTTTGCATTTACGTCAATCTCGCAAATTCAAAATTTGAAAAAAGGGAACTATGATCTTTTTAAAAACGCATTGAATGATATCAAACATAGCCTTCTGTGATTCTGCATCAGTGTAACTTATTGATACCTATTCTCAAATAATTTTTCTTATCTTGTCTCATGTTATGGCACTTTATCCCATCTCTGAAATTTCCAGGAGTCTTTGTTTTATGCCCTATCCATAGATTTGTATTGTTTCTAGATACTTTTTTAAATCAATTACTGTTTATTATCTCCACCTTTTTTGTGATACATGATGATCCTCCACAAAAAAAGGTTAGGATGACTTTAATATAATAGAAGTAAAGACATCATTTTGTTTTCTTACAAATTGTACAGCCTTAAGTCAGGAGTCCATATTTCTGTGGCAGGGATGTTGATTTTTGTCACTCCATGAAATTCTGTGACATTCCATCTGAGATGGACATCCGTCCAGTTCTGAAAATATACGTTCTGTCTAAGAAAACTGTTAAAGCTGTACTCAACAACAAAAGCAATGCACACAATTTTTCATAACGTAATAGAATATAAAGTTTGTATTAATTCATTCTTTTTAATGTTTGTAAAATTATAAAAGTGTATTTTTCTTTCAGAAACAACATTTTGACGAAGAAATAAAGGATATGCAAATGATATGACAATTACAATGAAGCGCATTGAAGTGGTAAAATTTTCCGTTCGAATGGAACGTTTTGAGCTATCTTTAGAACGTTTATTGTCATCTTATGACACGCCCTTTTCTTTAGAAATGGATAAAACGGTCAAGTTGTTTCTTCAAATACCTGTGGAACAGGTTTTCCATAAATGTAATGGCCAATCAAATTGTGGATCTAAATAAACACCGAGTAAACACGTGTTCGACCGAAACATGTGTTGTGGTAACTTCAATAGACATGATAGGTTCAATAATATGTACATATTCGTTGCAATTTGTGTTTTACAGAAGCAGGGGGTCTCTAACTCTCTTTTCTAATTTTTTTAATGCTCCAGTTCAGTGTAACTCATGATGCTTGTCGCGAAAAGGTAAAACTACGACGATATTTCTTTCTCGAAAAAATATGGGCGTGTCATTATGTCTCTCTCATCCAAACGAAAATTTTACCACTTCAATGCGCTTCATTGTAAGTTATACATTCTAAAAGGTAAGATTAACAGTCTCTCTAGAATACAATTCTTCAACAATGAATGTTTATAATGATGTATCGTGTATCTGTCGTATGAGATATACACAAACAGTTGCAGATAACAGCACCTGTTTGTTTCAAACAACAAACCGCACCTATATTAGAGTTAATGTAAAATGTAATGCATATCCTGGAAAACCAATTAATGGTTCTCTTTAATTCTATTTACTTATTCGCACTTATGAACTTATGGCTTGAAAATAGAAGTAGGAGATACAAAAGTAGTAATAACACTTCGAAACCAAACGGTTAGAAATGATTGACATAAAAATTCGCGTCTTTCTGATCACAATACCCAAGGTATCCAATTATTTGTTCAAATTACTGGAAATACTTATCCAAATGCCGTAATTTTTACAATGTATTTAAGTCTTATTGGCATTTCGACGATACGTGAATATCTTGAGGAGTATTATTTATCGTTTCTGACAGGAAACATTTATAAGGATAAGAAATGAAGTGAACTAGCGTGTATCATGGGGGTAGTGTGAGAATGACAAGGAAGGTCAATTTCTAGAAATCACGAGATAACTTAGACTCCTACAACTCCCCGAAAGGAGAGTACAGGGGGTCGTTATCTGAAAGGAATAAACTTGTGACATCCCAAAGACACTTTACATATTCTATTTCATGACACGGTGTCGAAACTTTACTCATTAACAATGTTAGCTCTACAGCTCATCCAAACATGACTTTGAAACAAATATGCGAAACATAAGATGTAAATTTTGCAATGTTATAAATAATGTTTTTATTTCATTATTTATTTTTGTACTTTCTTGTATTTAGTTGATCAATTCCTTGGAAGAAATCAGACTGAATGTCAATTTGCATGCCATGAATTGATATACAAAAACGTGGGGTTTAGCACCCTTCCCGCTAGAGTGCCATCCATAATGACACGTTTAAGGTCGTTGACATGTTTTCAACATGGACAGGTCCCAAATGTTGACATTTGAGTAAATCAAGACTGTTTTCGATCATAGAAATGTAGAAAATGTCTTTGATTTGAGAAACTTTCCCAGTTCAGCTTTAGTAGTTTGGTGCTATATAAGTTAAAAAAGAATTCTGTGAAGTACTTTACAAGGGCTCATGGTACCTCTTTCAGTATCTTCTTCGAAACAAAATAGAGTGAGTTTTAGTATCTCTGTGATCGGGAAACAGTCTTGACTAAATTGAGCCTAGTTTGAAACAACTGGGGTCAAATAAAAAAGATCTCTGGTCCTTAGACTAAAAACATTAAGCCAATGGCACTCAAGAAGGATAGGTTAGGAAGCAGCAAGTTCCAAAACTTTTCCAGAAAACTCTATAAAGTTTTCAAAGCATGCCTGTCACTCGCTTGGTGCAGTGGTTAGAGCGTCTTCTCTAGAGTCGTGGAGTAAGGAGCTGATTTTTACATTGCGGGTTCCAATCCAGCTGTGGGGGACCTAGAAATTGGTCCTTCTGATGAGACCGTATAAAGTCCCTATCGCAGTAGGTGCTGGTACGATAAAGATCACTACCTGCTCATCGACAATGAGTGTCGAGCGTAGGTAAAAATTTGCTGCACTCCACCGGCAAGTGGTGGCATCTACATCCGGCAAGTTGTGGCATCTACATATCAGTGTAAAATTCTCGAGAGGGACGTTAAACAACAAACAAAGCATAAATAGTCGCATTTTGACTTTTTTGATGCAAAAGGGGAAGCAATTTAAAAATAATGTGAAATAAAAAGATCGTTTTACCTATACCTGTCTGAAGTGGACAAATACATGCCCTTTAAAAGTATGAATACATATAAAACAAATTTGTATTTCTTCAAATCTTTAAAAGATAAAGTATATTATTACTGGTTGAAAAGGCGACGTTGTTTTAATAAATACTTTGTCAGACCCAGACATAGATCTTGGTTTATCATCTCTCAAATTCACTTATCTGCCTTAAAAACCGTCTGCTCTCAACAGCAACTTCAAAACAGTATGATATGATACGTTTACTTAGGGGAAAAGGATCATTGGTTTAACTATCTCTTTAGTGTTTTGGTTCCACCGTGACTGTTATACAATGTACACGACAACCTTGCGTGGGACTGCTTCATTTCTGTGTTGACTTTAACAGCACGAATATTGATCATTCGCTGTCAAAGTTAGTGGTGAGGCCCATGAAACCCCATCGCTTTTACTGGGGTCTCTAAGGTATTGCAGACTCTCACTTTTTCTCTCTCCGTAATCTCTTTGAGATAGAACAAGGCTCATCTTTTTGGTATTAGCACATTTATGCTGATACATATTTGATGTGTAAAAGTGTCATGCGCTATCCGAATAAATGTCATAATTGGTTTAGCAAATACCGTGGCGTAATCTCAAAGGATGAAATGCGATATTTAATTGGTGTTTCTGGGGGCCTGGAGATTTTGTTTATGCTTATAATTAATCTAGTTTGACGAGTTTTAATAAATAAAACAAAATGATCAAGTTAGTACACATTGTATACGAATAATTCATGTTAAAGTTTGGTTTCGCTAAAGTGAGAAAATCCAGATGGTGATTTAGTGACCAGTTTAACATGGCATTGTCAATTTCGCAAACATTGCCCCCATTGAAGGAAATAAGAATAATATGCATCCAGATGAACCTTTTATGGTAGTTAATGTGCTGGACCACTTCAATGACCAATGTACAAGACTACATATCAAAAGAATTGAAATGGCCACTAACATGACATATCTTAACATAACAGAGAAAAATAATCCCATACATAGCATGTGTCAAACTGAAAAAACTATTACATGTATCTTAATAATGCAGAGGCAAAACGTAAACTACATCGAAACAAATGTATCCCAGAAGGAAAAAGCAAATCAGTCTGGTCGGGGACAAAATAGCACCTCTGCAGAAACAAACACGTCAATAAACCTCCGGGAAAGGAAGATTTAAGGGAATTAGGTGTAATAACAAACCCGAAGCAAAGTGTTGCAGTCATAAAAAATACTCAAAGACTAATTAAAGATTCTATTAGAGAAAGCTCGTCTAAAGTCTCAAAAGGATTGCAATAGAGGCTTTTTTGAACAGTTGAACTCTCTCAACTTCAAGTGAAGTGAGAGTGAATAATTCTATAAACAAAACGAAAAAAAAAAGAATTTCAAGTTTTCTGAATCGTTTGTGTAATATGTACATTAGTATTTGCCAAGTCATTATTCGCAAATGAATAGTCAATTTGCAAATTTAAGGCTAGCAATGATTTTTTAGGTTTAAAAAAATTTATGAAAATTGGAAGGATTAAATATTTTATAGGAACATGAAAAGAACCATTTGTTAAGATGCAAGCCATTTATTGTTGTTTTGAGAGACTATGATGTTGTCATCATTTCTAAATTTAAAATCACACTTAAGTTTCAATTTTTTTTTTCAACTGTAAAATGTAGATATCTTTCCTTTGTCTTTTGATTTTTCATTGACCTTTATCGTAAGACTCATAAAATATTTTTTAAAAAAAAGACCCTTTAAGCTTATGCAAAATGATAAAATTTAATGATCGATCATTTTATGTTCCTAGAAAAAAGATTCAAAAAATGATTTGTTTGCGAAAAAATGATGTACAATAGATTTATTAATTTACTGGTCCTGAATTTCTTACTTACATAATTTGTCCAAACATTCAGCGTTAAAATTTGTTTCTTTTCATCCAAACTCATAATCTGTATCAACTGAAGGCCAAATCGGAGCTGAATGATGTCAGAAAAATTTTTGACTGGTCTTCCGAATTTTCCCCTCTCTGCATATTTTCGGAGAAGGTGTTTGATCAGTCGATCTTCGTAAGAAAACTCAGTACTACTTGTGTGGCCTGTTCCTGAAATACAATTAATAAAAATAAATGATAACTTCAAAGTTAGATTTTCCAAAGAGAAATTCTCTGGTTACACAACTTTCATGTGTTTTAAATGTAAAATATATGCAACTGACCGAAAATTGATAAGATAGACAAGATTTTTTTAAATTAATACTTAATCATTTTGAATTTTTATCATAAGTAGTTTAAAAATAGAGAATATTTCAATCTATATTTATTGAGGTTAGATTTTGTAGGCACTAGATTCAGTATTATACTTGATATGATACAGACCCCCGGTAATGCAAATTAAATTTATTTTCAATACAACCTTTACTTTTTTTTATTTGAAAACAACAAAAAAAATATAGTTACAATTAGGGATATATCGTATGTTCCTATCAGTGTCAGTTAACCCATTACTGTTAGTTCAACCTCATAAATTAAACATTCAGGGCATCGACTTCGGTTTGAATTGCAATGAAATGCAACACACACCTGCTGAGAGAGGCAGTTTGCATTACAGACTGCCAAATCATTATTATTTTTAGGTTTCATATCAAAACTTCTTTTTGGACTTTTTGAGTTTACTGAACGACCTCTGTGATAAAAACTGTTTTTATTGCAATGCTTCAACAATACCTCAATTATAGGCTTAAAACAATTGTAATCATTACATTTTTGGCAATAATAAAAATTTTAACGAATTCAAACAAAAAAAAAGTTATTGAATTCAACGTTAAATTCATAAACTTTCAAATACATTTGTAATATGACATTAAATGCATTTTAATTTATCAGAGTCAGTAAGGTGACCCAATTTTTTCAATTTTTGTCCATTCCATTTGAAATTACTTCACAACTAGTGAACCAATTTCAACCATGCTTTGAAAACAGTATCCTTTGGTTATGAGTTATCAAGTAAAAAATGAATTAGTGCTACTGATTGTACTTTAGAAAAGTTTACATCAGAAGATTTGAAAACGTAAAAGAGGTGGAAATAAGTAACCGTAATCGTTCTAATAAAAAAGAACAACAAAACCCCCCAAAATCTTGAAAACTCGAAAATTCTAGAGATGGGTTCAGGTGTATAGAAGGAGTGAGCATCCTTTGTTTATCTACAGTCATATCAACTGTGATTCATATGTATTGATAAAGCAGACGGAACATTCTGTCGTCATACACAAAGGTCTAAGAATAACATTGAAACAAGTCAGTCAAAAACCGACCCGGTGATAGGTTACAATTGCATACAAATTCATTTTATCGTCCTTAGACTTTTTTGAAATGGTGAATGTTGAAACAAGGTTGTTGAAAACCATGTAAATTCAACCAATGTATGAGTAGCTATAGCCTGTCTCAGTTCTTCAATTGAACCTACTGAAAGCATACTCTTTATTACTGTATGATTTTTAGACAAAACACAATATCCAGAGGTAGTGGAATATTAATACAAAAAAAATGACGATGAAAAAGCTTAAACCCTCCTGTTTGTAATATAGTTTAGTTTTTAATTGGCCTTTAGCGTCTATAGTCAGTAAAACAACCATATTGAAACAGACATTGCAGACTCTGCTTATATATATATATATATATATATATATATATATATATATATATATATATATATATATATATATATATATATATATATATATATATATATATATTATACAACTATGTTTATTACGGAAGAGATGTTCTGCATATTTTTTAACATTTTCCAACGATTTTTCTTTTATTATTAAAGTCTAGATTGAAATCTTCCCTATAATCTTCTTACAAGCTGTTTACCAAAAGCCAAAGAAACACAATGCTTTCGATTTAAGTGGTTATTTGTCACTTATAAGAATGTAACTTAGGTGCATTTGGTTTTATTTCATACTTCTTATATCTTTTAGTTTCAAAACGCTCTTACACTTGTTCTTTTTCCTTTTTTCCATTTTTAAACCCTGTGCTATTTATTCGACTTTGGAAACCTACCAAAACTTACTAGTATATAAAGCTTCCGTGACAGTAGGTTAGTAATTTATTTTTCATGGAATAGAACTGTGCTGTGTACTTGTAAAAGAAAAATCAATCGAGATGTTGACGTTTGCTTCGATCAACACCTTAATGGTCATTAAACAAAATAAACATACAGCGAGAAAATATGAACAGCCGCTCGGCCAGTTTCTGCAATTCTACTATGTTTCTATTTGATCGATGTAAAAAGCTTGCTTAATTCAATTCACTTCATGTTTCTTTGGAGGTGATTTGGTATCCTTTATATCAGTGATAAAGAGTGCGCTACATTAGTAAATTGCAAAAAAGATACCAAAGCCTGCCTTATTTCTGTCGCAGAAAATAAACAAATACGGCTTAGGAATTTTATCGGATATATATTTCTTCTCCTGGTTTTTTTAATGAGATGGAATGATGTTTTAGTTAATTGATTCTTGGAGAAAGAGATTTTATTTTGGGGAGGTTTAATCGTGTCTTGCTGCCTACCTTAATATTATCATTGTCTGACACTTCAGATTGTAACATATTATTTGAGATTGTGCGAAATATTCGAAGGAATGGTGAAAATTGGAGTTGATGTATATTTTCACGTTCCTTCGATGATTGGTTAGATGTTATGCTACGAGCATCTAATCTTAGATAACTTGGTCAGGACAAGCCGTGGTATTTCGCAAGACCTATATATCACTCTCGCCAAATTTCCAATACTTGATAGGGCATTGGCAATCTTCGTGGCTGAAAAGCCTATGGTTCATGATTCGATGTGAATTTTGATGGATTATGAACTTATGGTGTTTGTGTATTCTGGTTCCACCGGCCTTATGTATTTTTAACATCATCAAAATCGGATACGTCTCTACCAATTGCTACATCAATCAGAAATATTCTGAAAAACTAGATTCTAAAACAGAAAAAATCAAATTACAAAAAAGTTTTCTGGAATAATAAATTCGCCCTAAAATTTCGTTTTTATAATTTTATTTGATGAATCTCAGGAAGCAAACCCCTTTCCAGTAATGGACTTTTGATATCCAAACAGAATCATGTCGCCCAATATCAAGACTATAATTTCACGAACCGACATGATATCTCTAAATATCTATCTAGTCATCATCGAACAATTCACGGTGGAAGAAATCTTGAAGTCAAACACTTTGACACTATGTTCAGAGCAAGAAATGCAGTTATTAATCTCACTTAAGACAGAAGAAAATCAATTATGCAATTATGCATAGCGTTTAATGCAAACGACATTTTTTTCCCGGAAAAATAAAGTTGGAGAGAACTGGTCCTTAAATCCAATTGCTTTTTTGGTCCCCAATGTAAAAGCTTATCCACTGTCATTAAAAAAGCAAGAAACTCCAGTCTCAATTTATGCTTAAACTATTGGGTCCGATTTTTATCGCTAAAGTAATTTTTAGCGCCTCATCATTAAAATTCAATTTGTGTCTGTTTTATTGTCTTAGGCTTCACACATTGTTAAACAAACAACTTCTCTCAGGGAAAGCTGAGAGTGTTTAAAGCTATGGTCGTGGGAGGATAAACAAAAGAAATGTCCCTAGTGGGAGCAATTTTACCCTAACTCATGAAATATCTATTGTATTTAAAGTTAATTCTTCAAAATGCATGCAATTAAAACTGTTACACTATTTTGTACATTTTATGTGTAGATTTTATACAAATCATTTTTTTGCTTTGGCTTTGGAAATCTTTCTCATATTCTGAAATATTTTCATATGAAACATGGACTTGAGAATCGGTATCAACGAGACTAAGAAAACATTGTTGTTTCAAAGATCATCACGAATGCAATAATTTTTAAAAGTATTTGCATTTTTTGGTTTACAAATGTTTCATGCGTTTACAGAACCAAAAGGGTAATTGCAAGTATAGAGTATAAAAACGAAATGAACAAAATTTATAAAGTATCAGTAAATAAATTAGATTTTTGATTTTTAAAGAAGTATTTAGATGGTTCACAGCTGATTCTGTACGCAGAAGCATGCTCGGGGCATTTAATTACGATAAAATAAACCGAGGCTAATTACTGAAACATAAGATTGTTCTGTAGAGATTTCTACAGTCTCGTTTCAAGTCAACGTTACAAAAAATATGTTTGTTAAAACCCGAACAAAAAATAATACTATAGTAAACTAAAGTTAACTATGGTAAATCAAAGTTCCAAAGCTTTCACTATAGCAAATCACACTCCCAAAGTTTTCACTACAGTTAATCAAAGTTCCAAAGTTTTCACTATGGTAAATCAAAGTTCCAAAGTTTTCACAATAGTTAATCAAAGTATCGAAGTTTTCCACTATAGTAAATCAAAGTTCCAAAGTTTCTAGTTTGAATCTATAGTTAACTATGGTTAATTATAGCTTACTATAGTAAATTTTTGGTAAGGAATGATCTCGTTGCAATTATACTGTAGGTTCTATCGTTAGATCGTATTGTGATTAAATAAATGCGTTTAATATTAATTTTTGGTAATTGCTTTAAAAACTTTGATTACAGATAACCTCCTTTTATCCAATTAAAACAGAGGGCTAGCGGCGAGTGAGATCGATCGACAAGGGATGTTTATTCCTCCCAGGACCCCTGATCCCACACCTTGTGCTTCCATGGGTCCATAGTTTCAAATTATTTCAAATTTATATTGATGAAAATATATATAAGATAATTTACTGATATCTTCATTCACCTTTCATATTTAATCATATGAAATAAAATTAAGTTTCGATTACAAATAAAAAATGAGATCGGATGAGATGGGATATCTATTTAAACAAAAGAATGTTTGAATGTGCTAAAAAGATCAAGAAGGTACTCTGCCATTGATCGGCGTAATGATATCATGTCTATGGCACATTTATTTCATATCTAATTTTGAAGAGAAAGCCATCTGTATTTGTTTTTGTGTTATTTAATAACACAAAATTTTAAATGCATGTATGATATAATATTGCATGTTCTCATTCAAATAAATAAATCCTTTTCATGAAAGAAATCAATTTGTT